TTATTTTGCTAAAATTAGTGAAAAAACTGGAATGTTATACATTAGAAAAATCTATGAAATGCAACATACTTGGAAAAAATCTATTAAATGCATAAAACACCAAGGAAAGGCGAATTTTTTGCACTCCAGTAATTCCAAACTTTGAGCTGAAAACAAACAAGAGACGTACGTACGATACCTTTTTTCTTACTTCGTATGCAAGTCGTTTTAGGACGAAATTTACTATTGAAATGAGGGGAAAAAAAACAGTTTTTCAACAAAGTTTGAAGGATAACATAGTTTAAGAAACGAGGAAATTTGTTTTGATTGAATACCGCAGCAGAATATGGAAACAGTGTCCTCAGAAAGCAGCCCAATCGATAGCAGGCTGGCCAAGCTTTATGAGTGCTACGTTGGTTCGAGAAAAACATTTGCAACCGAAGAACAAACGTGAGCTTAACGGTGATGGATGCGCTGTCTGGAAAAAGAAAATAAAATGATTTCTCCAAATAAAATTTCTGCATTCAGCAGAATGTGAAACGTGGCCATGGTGAAAACAGAACAATAAATGCTGCGTGTAAAAGAGAAAGCAATTAAAAGTGTCTCGTTGTGACTGCATAAGCAATTAATTAGATTTTTCGAGACAAAAAAGCATGCAGGATTCCATTGCCACCACGTGAGAAGGCAAAATCCGATAGGCAGAATATTTTGAGTGCCTCAGTGAATATGGCCTGCTAGTGAGCGGTACTCCTGGAGAGCTTTTGACAAGGCTCAGACACATTAAAAAGACGACAGATACTTACTAGCAACGTGTAGCTGTGTAGTGTAAGGCTTGACACAGCTGAGCTCGACGTGGTGGTGTTAGGTTGTAGAAGCACTGACACCGGATCTCCACACGGAGGACCCAAGCTGTTCTTGTACTTTTTAGCAAAAAAAAGCACTTTGCATTCGTTTGAATTAACAAGCTGTCAGCTTATCGTATCACAAAAAAAAAAATCCATTAACCTGTACTGAGGAATATGTGAGAAGGCAGAAGCTAAAAAACCAATTTAGCATTGAAAAGACTGAAAAAACTGTAAAACGACTGGCTTTTTTCAGTGGCGAAAGCAAACGATCCAAATCATCCGGTTCATAGTATTTTTTACCTAAATTTAGTGTCTTTCAGTTGTTTTTTGCTAAAAATTAGTTGCAAGCGCGCCTCTTTCATGGATTTCTGGTTTACAACGCTGCATGGTTGCACAGCACAACAACGCTCCCTAATTCCTATACGTAATCCAATGTGACAATGCAAAAAGGATAGTGACATACTTTTATGACAATGTGTTTCTTTCGGTCCACGAGATATTCCTTCTTATGAGCGAATCCACCCCAAAGCAGAAACACAACGCCTTTACAATCGCGTGATATGATGCGAATCACCTCATCCGTGAATTTTTGCCAACCAATGTGACTATGTGAATTCGCCCGATGCGCTCTAGGTGTATTCCTTTTCATAATTTCAATAAAAATTTTTTATGTGGAGAACTCTCAGAAAAACTACTGTTCTGTCTCGCTTGTCCTTATTTGCAGCCATTTAAATTAGCAAGAGAATTAATTTGCTAGAAAACTCATTTTTAATGTTCACAAAATTGAAGAAATTTCCAGAAATGCAACAAATATCATCCTCAATCGGTAATCATGATAAAGATTGCAAAAGCTTTGGAAATGCAAAGTCCTTCTTTCAAGGACAATCTACATTAAATGTGATAAAACGCATACTCGACGGTCAGCGTAGCATTTAACATGAAGACACCTTGACGAGCCCAGGACTCAAGACAACCATGATTCGGTGCCTTGAAATTTGGAATGTCAGTTTTCAACTCCTGAAAAAGAAAACACTAACAGCGCAGCACAAACTATGTTCGCTAAGGATCGCCTAAAGTTGTATTCGCTTGGTACTTTGATGTTATTGAGATGCACTTGGACGTTGCGTACGACTACATCTGATTCTTTGGTCTCCTCAATTAGACGATTGTCCGGTGGCTGTTTTCTTCATCTTGGATACAAATTTGCACAGACGAGTGACCTCTTAGCACAAAAAAAAAGATTCTCGACACAACTTACTTTGTAGATGTTCATAAGTGAAGGTGGAGGCTTCACACCCTTGCAAACCGAAAAGCATAATCCATGCGCCTGGAAATTTAGCGCAACTTTTAGAAGCTTTAAATATACTAGGCAAAACAAAGCAAATATAAGGCTAACTGGGGCATGGCAAAGAAATTCAGATTTCTTAATTCAAAAACAATAACAATAATAACACCAAGACCGTTTGAGCAATCAATGCGAATATCCTTATATCAATGATGTTGTTGGGACTCTGGGCTGCATAGCAACTGTTCGATGTACGTAATTTACCCTTCTGACGGTCGGCTGAGTGGACTTCTACCTTCGCTCGATGCTCACATTTAATAAATTCAGTTCCGTGTAAAGAGGAAGTAGAAAAATGGAAAAGAGGATGAGGGGAGATGATCAAAATGAGGGAGCATGCCAGAAACGCAAATTTGTCCAGTCGCAAGCCAGCAGTACTTGAATGTTAAGGGGCGATCAGTTTCAATGAAAAAGATAAGCTGACCTGATTATCATCATGATAGGGATCCTGACCAATCAA